CCTGCAGGAGGTGATGGGAGGGTGGTGCCTTATCGGGTGCATTCCCTCTCCTGCCGGCTCCCTCGTTAGTCACGCTTCCCGGAGCAACGGTTGCATCTCATTAGAGCTGGAAAGGGAAGGTGCTTTGCTGTGTTCTGAATGCTTCAACACCCCTGAGCAGGCAGAAACAAGGAAGGAGGCTCAAGGACACCAGGTTCTGGCAGCCTGCTCACTGATTGTCATAGTAACCCTGGTTAAAGTCCCACCAGGAAAATGACTTATCCAACCGTACTTGACCCCACAAGGTGACGGGTACCACCAGCACCCCTGGGCACACAATCACTCTGACAGGAAGGCCCTGGAGTTACACAGTAAAAGATGAAGCAGAGCTTTCCCCCAAGCTGCAGTTCAAGGTCCCTGGGCAAGGTGCCTGTGGGGTGATGGTTAACCTTGGTGCCCATTTAAAAGCAGCAGGACAGTGTTAATGTCTGCCCTCAACCCTTGCACCTTACTCCCTGAAGCTATAAAAGCTCAGAGGAATTTATAAGCTGCTTGTAGCAGCTTTCACACAAAAGACTGGAGATGCCACATTTTTTATTTTGCCACAAGAAATAATTCAGCCTATGGAAAGGGGGATAACACCAGTTCTGGCATCTGTTATCGCAAAATGGGTCAAACAGCACTGCATTGCATTGCATCGTATACTTTTTGGTTTTCTGTTTTCCAGCCTGAGCAGGCAAAGATGGCTGGGATGGCAAGGGAGTTTGGTGCGGGCAGAGTGATTTGTTCAGGACACTTTGCGAGCCAGTGGCAACGCCAGGATCAGAAGTGCTGGATCTCAGTCCTAGGCAGAAGTCTTTCCTTTATACTGTTGAAACAGACCGGCTGTTACCTGGTTACCCAGCTGAATGCCCTCTCTACAACCAAAGCAGAAATTCTTTCTCTCATTTTACCTGTTTCTACTTTTATTGATGTCTTGGCAAACACAATAAAGGAAGATCTGCTAGAGTTTCAAGTGACCAGAGCTGTGTGCTGGAGCTAGCAAAGACTGGGAATTTTCACTGCTCTTCACATCATCTGCCAGGTCCTGCACTAGAAAGAGCTTTCACACAAGGGGCCATGCCTGGAGAGTGGACAACCTGTGCCATGCTGGCTAGGAACTGGCAGGCACAGGAGAAGGCAAGAGCCTTATGGCAGGCACATATGGTAGGCAGACCATATGTCACCATGTGCTCTTCAAAGCAAACCCATAAAACTCATGGTATTGGGGCCAAGTTCATGATGCAAAGGCTATGAAACTGCAAAGCTGGTAATGGCATAGAAGTACCATCAAGACTTAGAAACCCTCACTCTTAAAAATACAGGTATTTTTCCAAAAAGTCAGAAAATTTCAGACTCCTTCTCCATGTTGATTCCTTGGGGCTTGAAGCTGCCTGGTGGTGGGGGTTCCTTCATTAAGCATAACCTGATAATGATGTGCTTCTTCAGAGGAGACCACAGAAATGCCTCCCTGACTATACCTATGGGACCAAAACACAAACAGCTTCTTCATTAAGGGTAGAGGAAAGCGATACTGCACATCCACAGGCAAGGGAGTGGGCAGAGCCCCACTCCATTACTGCTCTGTTGGCAAAAAGCGCTGTAAGGCAAACAACCCTCAAGGAACCAAATTACACCGCCCTGAGGGAAGTGAATTCCTGCATGTTCACTGAACCATGTGTGTGCTAACTGCACCTGAACACTCACTCAGCCAAGCGCCGTGCCCAGAGCTGCCTCCTGCGCCAGCGGGGCGACCGGCCAGCCAGCCCAGCGACCGGCCAGCCAGCCCCGCTGCCCGTGTGCCCAGAGCAGGGGATGTGCTCACAGCACAGCTCCTCAGGTCGGGGCACACCTCTCCCTACATCCTGCCGGGTGCTCCGCAGAGCTGCTTCACTATCGAGACTCTGGGAGAGAAAGCACCGCATGCTGCAGGAGACCTGTGCGCACGGCTGCTTTGTGTCTCTTGATAAGCTTCCAATGGGGCAAAAGTATTATTTCACATCACAGTTTTGAGGTGATGACACAGGTCTGCTCCCTTCCTCAAAGAGTGCCAGGGAAGAGGATGATGTGGCTGTATCAGTAGCATCTCTGTGGCCCTTCCAGCACTGCTGAGAATGAATTAACTGTATCTGGCTCCAAACCAGGCCCCGGAGGTGGAGCTGGCTCCCTTACAAATTCTTATGCTATTTGTAGCATCTCTCTGATCCTCAGGGCTCAGGCTGCTGGCTGAGAAACCTGGTGGTATCTGTTTTGGTTTGTTTCTAAGACATTTCTCAGCATTGTTGTTGCACAAGAAGCTGAAAACTCATGTTTCAAAACCCCAGCCAGAAGGACAGGTGTTGCCATTTCTATTGCAGCACCATCACCTTTGGGGGTGTCTCCTCCCTAGAAAGATAAACCCATCCTGGGTTTCCCAGGTCTTTAAAGTTTCTAAAATGCTAAGACAGACTCCTACTTCAGGGTGCGCTGGGTGGCACTGTTGCAGAGCTGGGTGCCGACGAGCAGAGCTCCCGGCAGGAGCAGCAAGCCTGCGGAAGAAGGCGTCCTGCTCCCACACGCTGCCCTGGGTGCCGGCAGAGCGGCTGAGCTGGCATCTCTCTGGGCAAGGCAGGACCTCAGTGGCCTTTCTGACCTGTTGTGGCTGTTGTAGAGATCTTGAGCACAGCTTCCTAATCTTCATTCGGCATGTTTAACACTTAGCTTTTTCCACCTGGTAGTGCTGATGTTTTTCTTTGATTTTGGGGTTCTTTCCCCTCAAGGAAGACAAGGAGCCCCGGGAGAAGCAGCCCACCCGAGAAGCACCGTGTCCCCATGCAGAGACCAGGGCCATTGCTGTGTGTGAAAGCTCTGCCAGCACTGGCCTCCTTTTCCCAATAACATTTCTGACAGTGGGCAGTTCCTCAGCTGCGGGTTCAGACAGACATGCAAGACGTGCTTCTCAAATCCTTAAACTTTCCCCAAACACCTATTGACTACATCCCACGTGTCAAAGAAACAGGTTACATAGCAGACAGTGCCAACATGCCCCGAGTCAGTCATATGAATCATCTGGTCAGAAACAGGAGTATCCATTAGCTTGGGCCACTAAGCAGAAAGCAGAGAGCAGGTGCTTTGCTAACACTCTGGCATCCCTTGCATGGGTTTTTTCTTCCAGATAGCACCTACAGGACCACTGCTTGGGAGGAAAGTAGCATATGGAAGTATCCTGATGGTCAACATTATCCAAGAGAAGTAACATCCCACTGCCTACAGATATTCCTCCGAAAGCTGGGTCTTGCCCACCAGTGTCAAGTGTGACTCCCAGTAACACCACACAGCTCCCATTTGGTAGAGCACACCTCCTGGGCAGCTCTGCAACTGTTTGAGATCTTCAGCCACATCACAACAGCAAACCGAGAACGCCAGCCACTCATGACAATGGTAAAGGCTTCTGAAGCCCAGAGGAAGCAGCATACATTGCCATCCTTGGTGTAGCTCCTTGCAGAGATAAACACACAGGTCTGTCAGTGAGGGATCTCCATAGCAACTTGATGCTTCTCGCCTCTGCCTGAAATGAACCACATCCTCTGCTGCTCTTGCCCCTCAGCTTCTGACTTCTGGTTTCTCTTGGCTTTTAGAGATGATCTTTATTCACTTCACCCACAGTAAACATTTTGTCTTCTAAACTCTCCCTTTGCTGCTAGTAAAAGTTTCATGTTGGGGCTAAACCAGGAACCACAGGTGCCATGAGGTCTGGGACACACACTGGGACTTGCCACTGGTTTAGGACTTGTTTTTTGGTCAAGACAGAAAGAACCTGAAGTGATCTGGAGTATCCGGACTCCCAGTGCTTGCTTGGGACACCCCAGGAGGCCCCTTGCTCCGTTAAGCTGAACCAGAGCAAACATGACATGCAGAGGATCACCTCTTCGTTCCCAGTGTCATTGTAGGGAACCACACTGAAGGGAAAACAAACACTTTGCAAAGGCTGATGAACAGTGCACCAAGGAGCTGTACCATCGCTGTCTTCCAAAGCATTGTGAGAAACATGCAGGTAGGTCACTGCCACAGCCTCAGCAGCTGGCCCTTGAATTAAAAAAAAAAGCCACAGGCACCTCTGAGAGCCTAACTCCTCGTAGGACAGCACAGCAGCAGTGAGCATGGACTGACCTTCTGTCTCCTCTGTCCTTCGGCTTTGAAGGTCACTGTCAAATGGAATTGAGATTTCTTCCCTCTGTTACTCATCAGCAAGACAACAATCTGCCCTCAATGCCTGCATTAATGCAACACCACGGTGAAAAACAAGGGTCTGGCTGCCTCAGGGAACAGATTTCAGAACCAAGTTTTCACTAAACAGCTGCTGGAAGCTCAAGATGGGAAGCGACCTGCCTGGTCATCTTAGCTTTGCTCTGCTGGCTCAGCATTCACATGATCATCTGCACCATAGCAAAACACTTGATACTTGCTTCTCCCATGCCAGCATGCTGCTCCTCTCGCCCCTAGACACCACCCAGAGCTGCCCACCCAGGCAGAAACCAGACTGGGCACTAACAGCTCACCTGAGCACTGCTCAGAGGGCAGGGGAAGGGGCTGGGGCTCACATGCTGTGAAATCCTAACCCCGACTCGGCCACGAGGTCCTTGCGTGGCCTCAGATGCTTCTTGGCTTGCAAGTCTCTGTTCTGTCTGTGAGAAGAGCTAATCCTTGTACGAGGCAGCTGTAGCACTTGGATTAGTTACATGCAGAGCACTGAGGCAATGAATAATGTGCAGCACCACTCTCAACACTGTCATCTGAGGGAAACCACATAAAATACAAACACTGATGGCGTGTGTGTTTGCAGAGAGGCCTCTCTAGCTGCCTTCTGCTGATTAAATGGGTCATGCTGCCCATTCTGCTCCATGCAGCTCTCGCTGAGCCTCCATGGTTCCACTACCTGTTGAGTCAGTCATCTCCTTAATTACTGAGCCCAATTAAACCCTGACCTCAGATTCAAAGGCCACAGTGCTGGGAGGGAAGAACCCTTCTTTGCAGGAATCTGACCCCCCTGAGCTAGGTAATGAGGCTGTTTAGAGGCAGTGTTGCTGTCTTCCTGGAAAGAACAGACAGTCACAGCACAGCAGAGCTTCCTAGCAGTATCATGAACGGAAGGCTGACTGACCCATTTTCAATGGAAAACTCTGCTTCTGTTTCCCATTTTAGTTTCTCCCTTCAAGACATCTCATAGCAACAGCTTTGCTCTGCTATTAGCAGCCTGTCCTTTTAAGGAAAAGCAAGAGCCCATTAATGAGCCAAATTTATCACTGGGGGAGCTCTGCTGACCTAATTACACTAGCCACATATTTGACCCATTATGTTAACCTTCCTCTGCCTCCTCCACAGTTAAAAAGACGACACCTTTCAACTTAAATCAGGACAGCAGGGAATATAAAAAGCAAGAATTAGGAAAAATAAACAAAAAAGCCATGCTGTTCTCAGCATCCCACAACAGAAGACCTGAAGCCATAACCTGAAGTGAAAGCACACACATCTAGAGGGGAGATGCATCAGCAGTGGGTGCAGAACAGCCCCGACTGAGTCAGCTCTGACTGTGTGTACGTACGAGCACTGGAAGGATGCCTGAAGGACGGCCACCTACAGGGTGGCCCCGGCAACATAGAGCCAGTCGGCAATGGCAGTGGGCAGGTGAGTCATGACCTGCAGCCTCACCCACCAGTAGATCTCCATGGGACTGTAACGGTTGTTCGGGCATGGGGAGGTGAGCGCATCGGTGATGTCATCCAAGACCAGAGACATGTCCTTCAGGCCACTGTTAACGAAGGACTTCATCCGGGCCACGTGGCCAGTGAAATAGTCCCTCCCGTAGTCCTGCCGCACGGTGTCACTGGCCCCGCTCCACAGCGCCTCAGCCTGCCTGTCGATGCCCTCTGCCGTCAGGATGCCTGTGGCTGCCACGAAGTTGCTGGGCTCAATGAGGATGACTCTGACACCCCAGCGGTACATCTCCTGCCGGAGGCAGTCGGAGAAGGCTGCCACTCCAAACTTG